TAACTTTTTCACCAACAGTCCAGTTCTTGCCTGCGAATTTGTCACTCACCCCGCGTGAACCGTCAAATGTCCCCCTTCAAAATATGATATCTGCGGCCTCTGGACTGTTTATTATTCTCAAATATCGATGTGAATGCGAGTGAGGGTGTATAATATCTCAGTGCAACTTCCGAATGTTCCTGAACATCAGAGTGTCTCGTAGTGCCAATATGTGAAGCAACTCATCATTTATGCAGAATGCCTGCATGCTAGGCAGTTTGGATAATTTATAAAATATGGGAGGCATTTGTGCACTTCTTTGATGACAAAATGTACGCAGGTGTTCATTCTGTATAACTGACTTGGGATATGAACAGATATGAAACCACAAAACATGGCTGAACATCCAGGTGATTTCGAAGTCGGCTTGACACCTTGGATTTTGTTGTATTCGTGGTCGACAGAAGACTTACGTAGCTTTTTCGTGTTGTTTTCATTTTCACTAGGACTGATTGGGCATTGATGATATTCCAAAGCACCATTGCATTATTGTAAATTAAATGTAAATCGGCCTGCTACTGTGAAATACCCAGATTTACAGTAACTGCATGAAACTGTTTTTTCCTGAAAAAAAATGCTGCTAAAATGAAGAAATACGCAGTTACGGTAAAAAATAATTATGATAACAGAAGAGGACTTAATTTTTAATTCAACATTCTCGGAACAGTGTCATTTAGATGTGAGAACAATATATCGACCAATGGGGAATAAAAATATTTCGTTGGGGTGTTTGTTTCATTTTTGTACAGGGATAATAATAAATTGGTGCGCTATCCGACGACCGTGAATTATAATAGCATCCACATCTTCTGCAGCTGTTCGTAATTCGTCCGCGCATACAAGACTGAATGTTTCCGAACTTACGATGTTTGAGCACTATAACCTTTCTCGCTCCAGTATCTAAATCATGCATTTAAGAGTCACAGACACGGCCTGCCTCTTCACCAAAATACATTCCTGCATCGCACTGCTCAAAGTGCTAATGAGTTATTCTTGCATTTTTATGGAAAAGGAGACCGGAGGCCGGTATGTGCATCTGTTTATAATCAATTCTTCTTACAACTGTCGTCGTATTGAAGCAGATCGCCTGGTATAGAAGGTCAATAACTGCTATTAAACACGTTTCTATCATCCTTTCTCCAATATGTTCACTGCCTCTAAACGCCGTCTCTTCACTACTTTTATGTAGGTCTACCTCAACTTACACCCTTTATCTACGCTGAAGTCATATCTCAGATTTATAAAACGTAGACCGATAGTATTACATTTAAAGTCTACGAGGGAAATATCGGGGCGAAAATCCACAAACATTTGCGCGTATGAAATAAGTTCGCTGGTCATCACAATGACTTAGGAATGCAGGTGTAGTGCAGACCACCTGCGGTTCGATCGAATTGGACTCCTATTGATAAAAAGATAAAGGGCGTCACGTGGCGTACAAGTTGAGGAATGTTCATATATTCGGCGCTGATTTTCACGAACAAATAACGACCAAATTACCATGGCAAATAAGAACGGAGGGGCAAAAAAGTCAGTTATTCAATAAAAATCACTGGAAACGCAAAATAAATAGCAAGTTATACGATAGAATCTCAGTGGCATTCCGTTAAGGAACTATGGCAAGCTAAGTAGACAGATGAACTGTCTGAGAAAACAAATTTTAATCGTTTTCTCATGCCGGATATAACTTCGTAACGTTCAACCTCTGCGAACATACTTAGAATGAGCAGATATATTTAACTTGGTTTAACACAGCAATTAACCCGTAAATGGAACAATTGCAGAAAATAACTTCATCTCGAAAGAGAAGATATGTTTTAATCATGTAACTGTATTGGCCTGATGAGAAGTTACCGAAGGGAACGTTCACTCGCCACTGTCTCCTCTGAACATTGTTATGTGGATTTTTACAGCTTTTAGTCATAAGTTTCATTCTACAATCTAATAACTTATTTTGTAAATGCGTGAAACCAACCAAGATCATTAATCGAAGTTCAAGATTTGTTATGGAACGCCCGAGACAAATATCTCTCTCTAACTGCAATAACTGCCAATTGCAATCTTTTTCTTATAAAAGCAGCATGCCCGATATAAGATTATGTACCGCGCCATCTCTTCCGCTCACATATGTTTGTCGTCTCCAAAAGTATCGATTCCTATTTCGCTATACATATTTTCCACAACACTAGGTCGGAATCGTATATATGCCCATGACCTAAAGTTGAGAATAGGCAACTATTTCCCTGTCATAATCTGAGACACAACTTGACGTTTATCAGTAAACCCAAACTTAATCCTAAACTCAAATCTAAACTTCGTCTCCCTAATGTTTACTACATAGCCACTTGTCCCATTGTCTTGCCGAGGTGGCTGACATAGGCCATGACCTCCCAGTTATGCAATTCTGAATGTAGTGATAGTATAGTAAGAGTCACGAGGAAAATATCGGTGTGCAAGTATGCATGAAATTGTTAAGATTCGGAATGCTCATCAAGAGTGCACGCCGCCGCAATCGGCTCAGTTTGACGACATTCTCTCGAGGCAGTCCAGGTGCAGATCTTATTGCATTAAGCACGCAGGTACTGCGATCGATGTTGCGCGGCGCGTTAAGCAAGTGATCGATCGATTTTACCTCGCCAGGTGTGCGGGCCTCCACGCCACAGGGATGTGCGTCAGGCATGCTCAGGCGGCATATTCAGCCGTGCAGCTTTCACACGCAGTTAGTACCATCTGTCTAGTCATAGCTTGGGCTGCAACCCTCCGACTAACCTGGCAATATTTGAACGTCTGTTCCCCAAAATACCCTCTGGTATCATTTGTGTGAAACTGGAAGTTCTTTGAAGTCTGTGCTAAGCGATTTCCCTGTAGAGGTTATCAGCATAGTTGGCAACAGCCGATAAGCGATGAGATGAAAGAAGCATTTTGCAGCATATTTTTCTAGCTCTGTCAAGTCCATTATTACCTGGTGATGATGTTAATACTGTGTCATCAAATACACTCCAGTTCGCAAGACCATTCCGAATTTACGGCTGAAAGTCGCTCTCTTCTTGGGGGACGAGTGCACCAAGTAGGTTAGTTCTTCTCGCAATATCGAGAAGTGTGTCCAACAGACACTTTTATGAAGTCATGCAAAAAGTAAATGATAGGCCGTTGGTAGACGACTTTGGCTGCCTCGTGGTAAACTCTCTAGGAAACACTCATTATCAGGGTGAAGACGACCACTGACTCATCCAGAGCGTACAGGCAGCATCGCAGGTAGTTACAGCTAGCACTATCAACGCGCAGTTATCAGTCGAATCTCATTTGCCCTAAATTCGTCCATGTGCGGCTAATCGATAAAGAAAAACATCGATGGACATCACGGTGTCGCAAGCCGAAGTCGGAGTCACTCGTGACATGCGTACCAAAGATGAGGGCAGACGGTTGTGTTGACGATCGTGAGAGTGGGAAGCTACAAGTCTTCCCTTGTCCAGTTACACTTGCGTGGACATTTAAAAGTGCAAATCACCAGCAACTCACTCGCTTGCGCCCCTTTTTACGTACATCTGTGCTTTGTTTATTTTCGGGCTTTGCTAGGCAATTCCGGGTGAGTTCGAACATGATTAGGAATTGACGACCATTTTACGGCCAATGCGATCACTTAGTAAATACAAACTACATACTCATCTATATCCTCAGCCTCAAACTGCTGCTGTCTGAGTTTTCGGGTGCTGAAAATATCCGACACCATTGACAGACATTGTTCTCGTACTACCCATCAAATTTTCATACTTGAAACCTCTTGGTGAAAATCTCTGTGTCCAAGAAAATCGGCTTACCTACATGATTCCAATTCGGAAAGTACGAGTAGTTCCTATAACTTGGCGTTCCCAATCCGTAGCCTATTTGGCGTTCGTATCAAAGCCGGCACCGTTGGATTTGTGACTTCACCAAAGCCGCGCATTACATCTACGGATGGATATCTGTCTGCTTAATAGTAACTACCCCACGCAGTCCACAGTGTCGTAAGAAGTCATTTCATTCACCGGGAAAATAAATCTCGTCCTAAAGTGGTCGATCCTCGTGTGAGCACCCCACATCGTTTAAAGTAAGAACTGCAACGCAGATTTACTTGCGAGGTGTTTATTTCTTTTAAAAAAATCAGAAAAGTGGCTGATGTCTACATGCGAATGCTTGCTGCTCCCCAAATCTTGCTAAGCGATTCCACTGGACGCTGGAACGACCAGACCCAAGCGGTCAAGTCGTTTTCGCGGTCGGCTGAACCTCCTGGGTCTGCGAAGGCCTCTACCGTGTTGTGTGGCTCGCCGGATGTGCCTAGAAATTTAAAAATATTTTAATGAAGGTCGGTTACGAAAAAGAAAATTCCACGACAGAGAAAGAAGGAAACAAAGAGGGATAGTCAGTATTCACAGAGGTGCTGCAGAGTGACCATTCAGGGATAACCACATGTCAGATTAACGTGGGTGTCGCATTCTGAGCCAATGCATGGCATTAAAGAGAGAAAGAATGCATTAAATTGTAAATTGTGTAAAACTACTTTCCCGTCTTTAGCCCTCTACCTAAGGAAGATGAAAAAGTTATGTAAAATATTGTTTTGTTAACGCTGCATAAGTTGTTGGATATTTTACGGCTTCGTTCGTAAAATTTATGCAAAGGCAACCTATTTTACTGGCTTACAGTGGAGTCATTTCTTAGCTGACGTCGAGATTGAAAAACATACCGTGGGCGGACATGATGAATTGCATGCATTCAAAACTGTTTACTAGACAGAAAAAACTCCATTTAAAGGTAAATTACCCGGACACCATAATAATAACACCGCCAGTGAGGTCGCTCCACTCAGCCTCAAAGCACAACGCGGTGGGCATATCACATACAAACACAGTACTGGTGCAGAAAGCGCATTCAGAAGAAAAAAAAGAAAGAAAAAGAAAAAAAGAAAAAAAGGAGAAGGAATGCATTTAATGATGTGTTGCATTACCGTTGCCGAGAGCAAATACGGCATTGGCGGAGGTGAGAAGAGTGAAGTCGCTGCGAGGCTGCTGCATGTGGGCCAGTTCTGTCCACTGGCCGAGGGGGCTGCCGGCGTCTGGCGGCGTAAACATCTCCACAGTGTTGAGAGTTCGGTCATCCCATCCACCGGCGACCAGAATTGCTCCCCGAAAGGCCGTCGCTGCGAGCCCCCATCGCGCAGTTCTCATGGGGGCAGCCGGCCGCCAAAAGTTCGCCTCCCGCCGACGCCGCCAACGCCAGTCTGCTCGCAGATGGCAGAAGACCACAGAGGCAAGCGCGGTGAAGCGTTCATCCCGACCGCCAAAAAGGAAGACCCGACTGTCGCCGGGCAGACAGGCAGCGGCTGGGCCACCCCGTGCCTCCGGCAGATCGGGCAGTTTGTGCCATCTGTTCAGGCAAACAGGCGGGTGAGGAGGAGGGGGGAAATGTTTTTTTGGCGAAAAAAAATAAGAAATGTGCGTCAAGGCGAGGCGTCTACACTCACCTGTCCTGCCTGACGTCATAGATCTCACAGGAGGAAATTGGGTCCCATCCACCGAAATCGTCAATAAGCGTCTCCTCTCCGTCGGCGGCAGCGGTGGGAACCTTCACGACGGCGGCTGCGTGTCCCCAGCGTCCAACGGCGAGGGGCGCCCGGTCGCGCCAGCGCCCTTCTCTCACCAAAAACTCATCAACACGCCGCTCACAGCTAGCCGATCCTCCAACAACGAAAATGCTCTCTTCCGTTTGGTGGTGGCGGAAGAAAAAGCAATGCACAAATTAGCCAGGTGAAAACGGGGTTAAGAGATATGCATTCTTTAAAAAGCAAAAAGCAACGAGCGCTAAATCCACCCCGTGGCGGCAAAATGTGCTGACAGGTAGGAGGCCTGCACCCAGAGGCAGGAGACTTCAGTCAAACAACTGTCCGGCAACTCACCAGCCACCGCACTGTAGGAGGCGTCAGCCCGGCCAGCTTCCATGTCAGCAACACGTTCTGCCTGCTGCAGATGCGGATTCCAACGCAGGACAGACCACCTGACCGCCTTCTCCTCCTCCTTCGCCTCAAAGAGGAGGTGTTCTATTTGCCCGTTAAATTCGCACCTTATCTGACCCTAATAAGATCGAGCTAGTTAATCGCTATCACAACATTGCTCATTTTCACGAGCGGCGTTGGCGGGGACAAGGCCTGTACACACTCACGCGACTGCGTCTGACTCAGTCTGACGACATTTTGCCAAGACCATAGATGCTTGCCCTCCGAATGGTGCGCGCATAAACGTATCGGCTTTGCGCTACTAGTCGGGCGCGATCGATCTTACCTCTGCACGTGCGCATGCTGACTGACGAGGACTGCCATCTTCAGAGGCGCGGGGCCTACTCACACGGATAGTGCCGTCTTGATAATTGTATTATGGGTTGCAACCTATTCACTTGACAAGATAGTGTCGATTGTCCATTTCATATGATGTCCTTGATTGAATGCATGTTAGGCTGCGCTGCTGTGCTGAAGAATACACCCTGAAGACAGACACCACCAAAAATCCTGAAAATTCCCAAACGGATTAAATTTTCAGAATAATAGGAGGTGGATTTTAACATGGAGAGTGAAAGTTACGGCCTATGCCATGCGAATAAACTTCAAGGTTTCTTGTTTCCATGTACGTGTAGAGTCTATTGGCGTATTAATCAGGCGCAGGACGACAATAAGTATGGCATGTCCACAAGGTGTTAACAAAACATAAATCGCTAATTTCTCATCTTCAAAGTCTCCTCGCCTACCGCTGCATTCATCAGGCGGCGGGGCTGTAATGGTGGTCGGATTCTAGGTATATGATTACTCATACTTATTTCTCAAATGAAATAAATTCCCTCCCAATGAAGAAATTTTGGTCACAAACTGTCTTCCAATATCAATGTGTTCGGACTATCCGCCACCAATCCTTATCGACCTATTGACACTTTTTGCACTCCAGAAAGTGTCCAGCAAACGTTGACATCATCGGAATGCATATTATTTTCAGGGCGTTCTGCTCGAAAACACTCATAAACCAGCGGCAGTGTGCCATATCAAGTCAGACATAATTATTACTCTAATATCGCCTATATAGGTGTCTAATACGCAACAATCAGCAAACCATATCCCCCGCAGCTTAATGTGCGCTGGCAGTTTTATGGCACATCAATCCCTGTTGGTAGATGTGCTTGCGCTACCACTGGGTATAGAGGCTGTGATTATGGCTGTCCAGTCTTCCTCCCCTGTCTCACCCGTTACCGTGCTGTTGTTAGTGGTTCGATAATGGCCTAGTGCTGGTCTTGGACAAGCGCCTGCGGTGCTACCTCCAGGCGCAGGTCCGGCCGCGTCAGACACCTGCGTACTTCCTCACCCCCGGCCCTCTTAATTATGGCCTGACACTGATCTCAGGCGGTGAGGTTAATCGAGTGCGGTAGAGGCTGTGCACGTCTAGTCTCACTATAAACTAAATCACGCGCATTTCAGCTTGCCTGTTTCACTGTGCTCTGGAGCATACGGTGGATACTATCGACTGCTACGGTCGAACTACCATATGATGCATGTAATCAAGAATCAGAGGTTTGCTAGAATTTTCCGCATTCGTATCCCCATGGCAGTTCAATAAATCTGCGTTATTCCCAGGAGACAACTTTAGTAGGAATGAGCGCCGAATCGATCGACAGCAGTCAAGATAAAAGTTTGTAGGTCAACAACGGTGAAACAAGTGGATTGGTGGAATGGTAGGAAGAGAGAAAGGCCAAATTTTATTAAGGCATTTAAGACTCCGAATCAATGAAATAAACTTGAAAAAATAAATAAATCATTCTATTTTAAATTTCGCTTTCATCATCGTCGAGAGGAAACTATCTACTACCCCGCCCATTGGGATACGGCTACACCTAACACTCACTGGCACTTACTGCCTCCGCCCTCTTCCTCCTCTATCCACACACCTCTTGCATGCAAACACGAACCATACTCGTTTGAAGTGAAATCTGCTTACTTAGTCAGACGGGTGATTTTCGAACATTTTACGTGTTTGCTTATCATACGCATCGATAAGGCGGCATTCACTGTCATAAATAACTGTTTGGAGAGATGGAAGGTACGGGTGAATGCCGTGGCAATAACACATCGTGAGGGGACTCCACATCAGCGAGAGTATGCCATGTATTATCTTCTGTGTGTATTCAGAGCATCCACGAAACGCGTTTTACTCACAACCCCCATTATCCCTAGAGCAGTATGAACTTCTCAGTTGAACATTATAGTTCTCAAGAATGTCTGGAAAGTAATGGATGGATCTGGGAATTTTTAGACCACTGAGTTTACGTTTTCGCAGCGATGCTTTGATGCTGGTTGAAAGTGCCGTCACGCCGACGGAGTACGGTTTAATAGATTGCTACTTTAGGTTGTTTCAACTACCCAGTATGTTACTATTTCTCCTATCCACACTATTCCAGGATTTGTCATTTGAAAGCGCTTATATGCAAGTCGATGACTACGCCTTGAATACTGTCTCTCTCTCAGTTTGCTTGTCAGCTGATTGTCAGAATCGAATGCCTGTGGTTTCACTTGTCTATTGCGGCAAACATCCTCGAAACCAGAAGATTGCAGGTTTCAGTGCACCGACCGACTTGTAGTGGAAAACAAATAAAAAGACAGCACATACCGACACGCAGCCAATGCAGTCGCCATGAGGACCAATTAAGCTAGATTCAGTGATGCACTGAACTGCACCTGTCCATGCAAGTTGATTTTGGACGGTGAATTTGGGATGCATGGGTTATTCTCTTCAGGGCTTTTAAGTTCGAATACATGAAGTAAAGGTAAATCCTCTATGTTTTAATTAATGATAAGAAGAAAATTTTTAGATTTATCTTCACTCCGACGCCTTTATGATGGCAACGACGGTGGCTGGAAGCCAGCAAAGTTGGACCATTAAACAGATGCCGATGGAGCCGCTTAGCCCCCCAAATCGTCTTTCTTGGGTAGTCTGAGGTATCCTCTTGATGATGCAAAACGCGTAGATATTCTCAGTGGACCTGAAGCCAGAATACATTACTCGAAATAATGCCAGGTAGGAGTAGAATTGTATGGCAATGAAAACATTGTTATGAGCTGATAAACACTTTCCTTAGCTTGTGAAAACTTGCTGGCACCATGCATTCCCAACAGGAATATCGTACTTTGTTGTCCATTCTTCAATACCCTCGTTAAAATACGCTTGAAACTGCATATTTCTCCATTTAACAGTTCGAAATCCCAAAGGGTTCGTCGGAATGTTAACGGATGCATCTCGGAAACAGTAGTCTTCTCAAGGTTTGTGGGTGAGCCAACCTAATAAGCGAATTCATTTATCCGCGACACCAAAACCTGCAGGTCGTCAAGGCTTAATACTGAAAGAGCCATATCAATATTGTGACCAAAGTGAGTAATTCAGCGTTTCGATGCAAAATCGACACTCAGATGCGTAAAATAAGCTTCTGACAGTTCAGTCAATAAAGAAATGGAACAGCATGTGAGATAGGAAACGGCCTTTTCAAACCACAGATCGAATATCGGATGGGCGAGAAAGGGTGTCTTCGATCAGAATTTGGGTACTATTGTACTGATTGCAGGCTCTGGGCAGGCAGATGTTTCTTGTCAGAATTCCATCTAGTTCTCCCATTAACTGTAAAGACGGAATATTAGTGAACAACAAAGCTGCGGCGAAGTGAATAAAGGAGACGGCGATTGGTTTTTGTCAGTCATGACACAGTTGAAAATGTCTATGTTATTGGAAATTGACAGTAGAAGTTATTTTCGTGGAACTGAGAAATGTCAAAGCAATTCCTGTATTGTAATATGGACGTATTGGTTTGGGTGAGTGGCAAGCTATGCGAACTACTCGGTTGTCAGTAAATACTACTTGGATGGATGCCTGCTATCGCCCCAGTATTTCACGAGCACTGACCTGTTCATATTAGTCGATTTTTTGTCAGTCGTCTGTCAAGGTTACAACTGGCACACTATCCTGTCTGCATGCGCATTTCTCTCAGGGCTCAAAAGTAGTATGCGCTTGTGATATCGGTAATTGACCTCAAGGCGAGGACTAAGTGGTCCGAAATACAGAACGCCGTATCAGCGATGTATTATGTAGCCGAGCGAGTCTAGCTTTGAATCAGATAGACTTGGCTGAATCAACATGGTCTGCAAAAAGAGCTCTGCCCTGAATGTTCGTACGGGTGAACATGTGATCCTCACCAACTTGCAGTATGAGTGCAGATCGAATCGATACCTACTGCCTACATTCCATCTCTCGACGGGGATATCTTGTCAACGTTGCACACGCCAGTATATTTGGCACTCAGCATACGCGGTCAGCGGCTGCTTGCCAACTCATCCCTGACCAACGAAATTGTTTCCAAAAAAATTCACCCTTTCACTCTGCTGCCTACCGCTCACTCAACTCTGCTAAGTGTTGGAACCGGCCATTCGGAACCCGTAGATCCTCTGCACGTGCTTGTGTGCATGCATATGCGTGTAAAGTTGTGAGTGCACGATAAAAACAACCTTCCTGGTATTCTTGGAAGTTCTTCTCTCCATCTTCGATTATAACTTAAAATGGCGCTTTCACAGGCAGCAATATTCTAAGACTAATTTCCCCTGATCCAGAGCTGTCCTTCACTGAACGACATACGACTTGCTCAGGAAATAAAAGACTTAACAATAGAAGTAGCATTTCTTAAAGTGAACATTTGTGTGTGTTAGGTCAAGGGAGGTGATGTTCTCCACACCCACCGAGTGGTATTAGCGGCCCGGGTTCCCTCCTTGCGGGCAAATCTTAGTGGTTTTCCCAGGAATGACGATTATGCTCTAAAATGGCCGACAGTGTCTCTCAGGTAAAACTTCCATTTGTCGGTTGCTCAATTTAACCTACTGTTTTTGCACTTTCCAGCCTCGCAACTGCGTTCATTCAGTATGTGTATACCGGCCAGGTTAAGTTGACAGAAAGTAATGTGAAGGACATGATTATGTTTGCAAGAATTTTAAAGATCCCTAACCTCGTGAACTGGGGAACATCATTCATGGCTAATCGGTAAATAACTTCCGATTGATCCTCTCTGACTGCCTGTTTTTAAGAGTCAATTTAGAAAATTTGCCAGCAACATGGGACTTTGCCAAGTCTCTGAATATCGAGCCACTGATGGATACCTGCGTCAGTCTAATGAAAAAACGCTTTGAGGATTTCGTGACCACTGAGCACTTTGTTCGCTTACCGGCCGAAAATGTGCTTAGTTTGCTTCGGAGCAATGATCTATCAGTGAGGTCTGAGGACAAGGTTATTGGGGCCATCGCACGTTGGGTGGACCATGCTGACGATGTCCATGATGAGAGACTCAATGTTGAAAGAGGTACAGTGGCACCTAACGACGACTCAGTGCCGCAGTCGCCTTATGGAGACTTATCCAACATTCTGGAGAAGATTCGAATGCACGTAAGCATATGCAATTCAATCTCATTTATTTGCCTACAAAGTTGTACACTGTTTCAGATTGTGAATTGGATTGGCAATGCAGACCACGAACAGTCACGCTGTCCCTTTAATGTAAGGTCACGTCAGAAGGGAGAGGAGAGCTGTGAAGCATCCAGGCACGTTTCAGGTGTGCAGGACGAAAAACAAGTTGTTGTCGCACCCCGCTGCCGTGTCGTGCGCGACGAAACATCTCGGCCGCGTCAGACGTTCTTTCTCTTTGGAGTGGAGAAAGATCAAAGAAGATGGTCTGTCCTACGTTGCGATCCCCATCTGCAAGAGGAAGAACGTATTGCTGAGATGCAAAAACGCTGGTGGGCCTCCTACAGTTTGGTGAATGGTGAGTTCTTCGGCACCTATACGCCTTCCTCAACACATATTATTTTATTGAAGTCATTACTCGTGTGCAGGATTATAGGCCTCTCTCACCGCAGTAAAGGTATGTTCCATAAAGCAGGAAGGCATAGACATTTGAGCATTTTCAGTTTTTGAGATCGTCTACTACCTTAAAGCTGCAAGAAATGATCCAATTAGAGTGCTGGGCAAGTAAAGCTTTTTTGTCGCGATCGGCGTCTGCTTTTTAATAGCGGAGCAGACAGGTTATCAGAACCTCTTGCCTTGCACCTCATCCGGGAACTTTCTTTTTTTACGTTTTCGCCCTCTCGGAAGAGAGCATTTTCGTGGTTGGAGGAGGAAAGGACTCAAGACGTGTTGATGAGCTTCTGGTGAGCGAAGGATGCTGGCCGAGCGGGCGCCTCTAAACGTTCCACGCTGGGGTCACGCTGCCGCAGTCCTAAAGGTTGAGGTTGTCGCCTCTGCTGCCGCCGCCGCTGCAAACGAAAAAATGACAGTGATTGGTGTTTTTGGCGGATGTTTAAAGGAAGGGAACACATGGGCACATATTTTCGTTTGCGAAGTCTATGACATCAGCCTGGACAGGTAAGAAAACCATCGTCGTTTAAGATCTATTTTACGAAAAGTAACTACTTCCCTCACTTGCCAATTCGTCTTTCAATAGTTGGCAAAAACTGCCCAATCTGCGGGAGAAGAGGTGGAGCCCAGCCGCTGCCACCCTACCCGGCGACAATCGATTCTTCGTTTTTGGAGGCTTTGATGGTTCCTTACATCTAGCTTCCGTAGAGTTCTGTCATTTAGCAGCGAACTGGCAAAAGCAGGCGACTTCACTAAGTCCAAATGAATTTTGGCTGCCAGCTGCCCCCATGAGAACCACCAGGTCAGGGCTCGCAGCGACACACTTTCGGGGAAGAATCCTGGTCGCCGGTGGGTATGATAGCCGAAGGCTTATTACGAGTGCGGAGATGTTCACGCCGCCAGACGCCAGTTGTTGCCTCGGCCAGTGGACAGAGTTATCTGGCATGAAGGAGCCTCGTTGTTATTTCACTCTTCTAACTTCCTCCGACAGGATCTTTGCTATCGGCGGTAATTCCTTTTACATTTTTTTTAACAGTAGCGCACAATATCTTGCATTTGTTTCTTATCATACTATCTCATATTTCCAACCCAATGCCCAAGTCGAGTTGGCGAATACGACCAAACTGTGAGGTCATCCAATCTAACTACATGTGACTGGTGCCCGGCTAGACACTCGGAACTTCTCCAACAGATTGGTTGCAGCTCGAAATTTTTAATCAACGGACTTTGTTATGTCTAGGTCCGTAGAACCTTATAAAAGGAGGTTGGATCAACATGAACGTGCGCACAACAATGCCACACGACCACAGCCGTCCCGACAGCCAATGCCAAAAACGCAGTGATACACTGACGCTACTAACGATGTTTAAGTAGCAAATGCCTATGTAATTTTTCTAATTTTCGAACAACGGCGCAAACTGCTGATGTCATTTACCATAGTGCTCGCAGACTATAGATCTTACCATATCGGGCTTATTTAGATGCCATGGTTCCGAAGAGCTTAATCGGCTCCACATTGTCAGAAAGTAAAATCCACGCAACGGACGAGGAGCTGAATTGGCATGTCGACATTGTCGGCAACATGCTGGTCGATTTTCCTCTCCACTCACTGCCTCGGCCTCTGAAACAATGGTCGGCAAGTTATTTATCTGTGTCCTTTTTGAGATACTGCTTCGTCGGAGGAGATGATTGAAACTTGGTCGGGCGGTCGGTCAGGTCGTTCTTCTTCATCGCCGAGTAGACTTTTCATCGGCCTGTCTATATATGGCCTTCTTAAGTCCATTGTGGCAACTTCGTCCTGAGCTTTACGGATGTAATGACGTGGGACTTTGTAGGCCGCAGGAATGTCCAGATTCATTTTGATGGAATTGGCATTAGAGTTCCACTCCCCGTGTGTTAGCCACTCTGTTTTTGTGTTGCGCCGGCCTAAGATGGACGTTTGGTCGTTTTTGTCCGAAGGCTCACCGACGACAGTAGCGTCTTTGGACCAAGTCCTCGAACCTATTAAATACCTGAAGCTATATCCAGACAAACTCATGGTCCGAACTCCGCCGACCATACCTCGAGCGGCTGAGGCAGTGAGAGGAGAGCAAAATCAATCAGCATGGTGCCGACAAACTCGACATGCCCATTCACTTCCTAGTCGGTTAAGCGCATTTTGCGTTAATGGGAGTCGTTAATGTTTTTGAGAACCTCAACACCTAAATAAGCCTCATTCGGTGGGCCCATCTTTTTCCTTAAGTCACCAAATTGGACCTCTCGAGTTTTTCTTTATCTGAGAATCCACATATGCTCAAACGAAGCATGCGATCGGTGATGAGAAAGGCGATTATTCTGACACGTGTTGTAGCTCATAAACAGGATGGCATGGTTTATATTTTTGTTGGATGTAACTACGTTGCCATACAATTACATAACTGGTCATCTTGCGATCTGCACCTCCATCTAAGCTGTGTCAGTCACTGGTGGATTTTCCTGTGATTTATCTCAAGTAAACGCCACTGCGATTGCCATATCATCGGACATTTCTGGCCGCATTGCATTCGATATGGTGGAATACTTAGATTTTCCACTTATTCGCCTTCATTTTTCGAAAAACCTGACATGTGCGACACCCTTTTTCAACTAAAACCGGCAATGCCAAAAGTTCCCTTCTGAAATGCAGAATTGAAGTGTCGGATGAAGTTTCAGCCGGTGTTTCCACGGGCATCAAATACTGACTGTAGACAGAAATCAGTCTATAGCTAGGTATTTGGGAGGCAGTTTAACATACATAGTTGAACGGGGACACGTAGTATTTTAGAAATGCCTGTGCACTTGAACATTTGTAAAAAGAAATGTCTATGTACCGTGTTTTATTCTCCCAAGGCCCTTTTGTCAACACAATTTCAAGCGTTCTCAACTTATCATTGCCTATATCAAGACCTTTGCTGAGATTAATATCGGCTATCTTGTTCGCAGTAACTGTGCAATCCCATGTGGTTATTACCAGAGACCAGATCGCAAGTAACGACGATATATGCTTGAACATGAAAAAAATGTCGAGTGCCTTATCTTCTAGCAGTGGTGGTTCTAGTGTTTCATTTTGAACTGTAACGAACCGTGGCACGGTTGAGTGTACAGTGCTAAACGAATTAAAAATTGTAATATTTCAAAGTGCTTAGGAAATGAAAAAGAAGCGATTTCTAAATTAGAATACCCACCGGAAAGACGGCAGGAATGCTGTGGGACTGACGGGCGAGCCAAAACCGTCCCAGCTGTGTCAAGCATTGGCGGAATATCGGCGAAACATATGAGGCAGACTTATCTGGCCTCGACTGGTGTTCTTTGTTTACGGGTAATGTCAACGATGACTGGGATTTGTTTAAGAATGGCCTTCAACAGATCAACAACCATCACTGCCCACTGACAAGTGTGAGACTGAACAAACGTCCTGTGTGGCTAAAAGGCAACTTAAAGAAAGAAACCCATAGCAAGCCCTTATTGTAAAAAAATGCTGCATCACTTGACAAGTTGAATCGTTCAACAACTACAGGACATAGAGGGACAAACTGAGAAGCATGCTTATAAAAACGCGACAGGAACACGAGAAAACATGTTACGAAAATCAAAGTATAACAGAAAAATACTCTACAGCTACCTCCGACGAAGTACAACGAACAGACGTCTAATATTATTGATAAGGACTATCGGTGACGTTGTGATTTCTGATATTAGGAATACAGCTGCGTATTTTCACAGTTGTCTTCGAACATTCTGCGCAAATGAGGCCGGTTTCCCTCCTTAATCCACAGAAGAAATGCCGACCCCGCTCAGAAGGCGTTGTCCGAGGTCATTGAATGAGTCAAAGTCGCTAGGAGCAGACGAGATTCCAAACAAACCTCTTAAGGAAGTTACCAATGGGATTTCTGTGCCGGTGTCTATGCTCTTTTCAACGTCATTTGGCACTGGAACATTCGCATTTGATTGGAATCTAGCGCAAATTACTCCCATATACAAAGGATGTGCAGGGCATTGACGACAAATTGCAGGCCCATAAGCTTGGCATGCATTCCCTCCAAAGTTTTGTGGATGATCATAAAGGGTGATTTAACGCAATTCCTAGAGGATCATTGTCTGATATCGAAATGCCAACATGGGTTCCTGAAAGAAAGATCCTGCGTGACAAATTTGCTACAGTCTCTACAGAGCTGTATCCGACCTCTTGACTAAAGACACGCGATCCAGATAACTTTCAGCGACCTCCAGAAGGCGTTCGACACAGTGCCACACCACAAAACTTAAAAACACTGAAAACAACAGGGATCAGAGGCAACTCCTTTAAATGAATCGTAAACATTCTTGTGGGCCGTCAGCAGGTTGTATGCATCGGTCAAGTAAAATCGGACCCTGCTATGGTTGAGAGTGGTGTTCCCCAGGGTTCAGTACTCCGATCCATTTTGCCCCAAATATACGTGGGTGACTGCATAAAAGCTTTAGACTGCGAATTACCAATATTTGCGGATGACAAGAAGATATCGAGTGCAATCCATGACCCTGCCGACGAAGACAGACCGCAGATGAAGGGTAATCGGTTAGATGAGTGGTCGAGCCGTTGGCTCCTGCTGTTCTACGTTGGTAGATATAGCCTAGACAACACAGTCAAATCCGCCAGCACAAGAGACTACTTTCTTAACGGCGCAGATTCACGAGACGTCGAAGCCCAAACGGAACTTCTGTGTGCTGACCACGAACTATCTAATACCATCCGCCCATTGTTTGAGAGTGGCGAAATACGCAGTGTCCGTACTGTACGCCATTAAAAGTAAATTTATGGATTTTGACGAGGACGTTTTCACTAAGACTTTTGGGACATTTGTGCAGCTGCGCTTGTAGAGTGGCATACAAGCCCGGGAACCGTTGGCCGTTAAAGATCAAACTTGTCTCGAGAGAGTTCAGTGGAGAGCCACAAAGATGGGCAGGGGTCAAAGCCCCTTTCTTTGTGCAACCCGCCTAGTAAATACGAACGTCCTCCCTTTCAGTTTAAAGGCATCTTCGCAGGAATCTCTTGCAAACACTTCGCATTGTAAAAGGATTGGATTGCAGCCTGGCCTTCGTGGTCTTTTTTGGATTTGCTACCACGACCAACTTCCGAGGTCACCTTTTAAACTGCTCACTCAACAGGTAAGCCTGGATTTGCGGAAGTTCTTTTTCTCTGTTCGAGCGGTCAAACCATGGAATTTCCTTCCTGTAGCATTTATCAGATTTAAAAAGAACCTCGACTTATTCATGTTCTGAAATGACCAAGAGCGATTAGAGTTCAAGTTCATCACCTGTAAATCGCTCCCAT